ATATTACAAAAAAAAGAAGTTTTGTTGGAATTTTTGTTTTTTTTGAAGATACACACTTTCTTATTAACACATTTAGATTATTAGTTTCTTAGAAATATATACGTGCACACACATTATTTTTTGTTGTTTTGATAAAAAATCGAAATTTTTTTAAACAAAAAGCCACCGATATTCGAAATTCGGCAGTCTTTAATCTGATTCGGATATTATCAGAATTCTTAAACGTGTCAAAGCAGAAAGGTCATAGATCGTGCCGGCAAACATTTGATCTTCATCGTGACGATGAGAGATTAAGTGCGATTGTCAGAGCTGCTGCTGCTATACATATAGGTAAGGGTACGCCTGTCACGAGCGCGGATTCGAGTAAGAAAGTTTTCGAAAGGAGCATTTTTCTCTCTTTTTCTCTTTCTTTCTTTCTCTGTGGCGATCAGATATCCAGGTCCGGTCGAAAGATATTGGGAACGATTTGTCGCTAAGAGACGCGGATAGGATAATCTTGGTGAAATTGACTGCGCTGTATACTAGTACGCGGATTTTGTGCGCGATGTGTGGGCATTACTGTTACTAGGTTTGCGCGGGACTGGTCCGGTTTTCCGTAGCTTCACACTTTGTTACGCTATCCCGTCGACGGGATTTACGCTATCGCACCGTGTAGCACTCTTTTAACAAAGATTTCTAGTACTTTCAGCTCTAGTACAAATCGCGTGTCTTGTTCGATGGCCGCTATCGGTTTTATAAGAGAGCATAGCTTATTATGTAATATGAACATTTTTTTCTCTCTCCATCTCTCTCACACGACATGTATCGTTTTTTTTTTATCATAGACATTTTGATAATGCATGAAACAGAAGGATGTAAAAAATAAAATAAATAAAAATAAAATAAAAAAAAAAACATGTGATTAACGAGAAGAGAGAGGACAAAGTTTCTTTAAAACTATAAGGTCAAAAACTGGAAATGAAAAAAAAATCTCATTTGTCTCAATAAAAATTTCATGAAATTTCTTTCGCAAGTAGTTTGCATTATTAATATCTGATATCGCGCGCGGGCTGAAGGTTTGTGGCGACGCAGAAAAGAAAAAACTTCTTTAAATTAAAAATTTTGTCTTTTAAACAATTTTTTTTTTTTTTTTCTATAAAAATTGTTGGTATTTTGACAAAGAAACTTCTTCGATGTAGCAAAACAAAATTAATACATTAATTTAAAAAAAACACTGCGTTTTCGGCAATTTCTCTTTGTATTAAAACGAATTTTCCTCTTGAGAGAGATACTTTAATTCAATGTTTGTTGCAGATAGTGTGTGAGAGAGATGAGACTCTAGATATAGGTGACGTATCATTTTAGGTTGCACACACACACACACACACACACACACGCACGCACACACACGGTTTTTAGGTTACACATCGCATACTCACATCCACACACAGTAGCACGCAGAACAGTTTCGGCTTTACGTAAAATGCGCACGTAACGTTCGCAAGAAACATCCAATGTGCGGACCGGCGATACTGTATCGATCAAATGTTACCTGCTGGTGTGTCGCAGATATATATCTTCGCACATATATATATATATATCTTCGCGGATGGCTCGCATAGCTATGTATTTCTGTTACGTACGGCGCTTGTATGTACCGAGAAAATACCGTCGCGCTAGTTCGAGCCGGAAATTATTGCCGTTCTTACATGGCGGAGAGTAAATTGAGAAATTTCGTAATGACGGCAAAGAGACTGCTTTCTCCCGTTATTACAAATTAAAAATTATTTTGTAAGTATTAATAAATATAAAGATAATTACAAATAAAAAATTAATAAATAGAAAAAGTAATAAAAATGAAAATATAATCAAAATAATTCTCTCTATTTCTTTTTAAATAAAAATTTTTAGTAATCACTAAAAATATAAATAGCTGCGGCGAAATGCGTTGCACTTCGCAAATGGATGTCAGATATTCGAATACTGCAGATGTGTAGCAAATATATACGTGTATAGAGTGACATAAAATCGTCTCGTTTCGCAAATTCCTTACAAATGTATTTCTGCATTATGCGCATTGCAGACACGACACAAAACGAATTCAAGAACATGAACAAACGCGTCTCTCGGTATACGGAAAAAAATATAAAAAATTTATTGAGTCTCACTTTACTCTCCTTACATTTTATATTTCTCACGTTAGAAGAAACTGTCGGCGAAAGATACGACACCGCGTTGTAAATAAGACAGAAGGAAAATTATATCGACGTCGACTATTTGCTGTGCGATCAAGCTGAGAGATCGGAATGTCTAAGAAACTGATTCTAAATTGCCCGATCAATTGCGCGACAAATTGGAAATTAGGGGGTGATGAAGAGTACAAAGAACAGTCTCTCAAGAACAGTGCAATTTCGCCTAAAATCCACAATCCACATTTAAATGTCTTTGCACGTGCAACTCTTGTAAATTTAATTGAGTAAAAACAGACGAGTTCGTTTTGGCAAAATAAGCAGATGGATTCTTGCAATAACGGAGAAGAGATATTGCAATAACGTCGAGCTCGTGAATATGTAACAGCGAAGGAATGATATGACGAAAAGTGGTTTGCTCGTTTTTTCTTTCTTTTTTTTTTTTTTTTTTTACCCTGATTGTTTAGTCTTCCGCAAAAGGCGAGTGCACAGTTCCACAGGCTTTGTTTTACAGACTGTGCACACGACACTGTACGATTTTTCGATTTGAATGTCTTTTTAATTGTCGTGTGACAGTTCGCGCACGAAGGTCGATCGATCGATTGGTTCCTTTGGAATGCTCGAAACATAGGCGAGTTACAAAAAAGGAAGTTGCGAGAGTTTTTATTGTGTTAGAATCCTCGAATTCCTAATTTTTGAAGTGAGAAAATTACCTCAAAAACGTTGGAATTCTAGTTTATACTCTTGTATCACTAAAATCTATCAACACCGTAATTTTTTTACACATTTTTTTTTTTAACTACAACGTGAAATAGAAAGGAAAAAAGATGTTTAAATCACCTTCTAAAGGTCTTCGAAATTGCTTGTAGTTTTTATAATTTATAAGGAAGGAAACGTGTGTGACAAGTATATATATATATATATGTATATATACATATATACATATATATATATACACATATGAAAGCCACTTCTCGATTACGAAAATACGATTATACGAAACGAGTTCAAGTTCGCAAAAATACATTTTTTTTTTTTTATTATTCAATTCCTATTAATCCACATATTTCTCAGGTAGACGTTCTTAGAATTTAATAGAACCAGCTCAATGTGTGTTTCGGCCGAGTGTGTTTGTACGGCGAGTAGCGATAGTTCGCGCGAATAAAAACGCAGTTTATATAACGAGACGTTCTTAACGTTCGTTGTAAAAAGATCAATTTGAAGGGGACGAAGTCGACTATTAGTATCCGAGTGAACTTAATTTGCACAGCGATGACATAACACGCATCGCGAAGCGGCCTTTTAACCAAGAGCTTTTAAAAAAGCACAATCTCTTGTGCTTTTTCTTTTCTTTTCTCTCTCTCTCTCTCTCTCTCTCTTTCTCTTCTCTCGTAGTTGTTCGCTTATGTAACATTGACTGTACTCTAAAGTTCTAATTAATATACGTTCTACGGTAATTACAGTATTGTTATTCGGCTTGGCGATTATGCCAACGCGCGTGTCCTCTTTATTTTCACGGCGATGTACACAATAGGTGAAAAAAGTCTTTAGAGGAAAATAAGTTCTTTAGTTAAATTGACAAGTAGATAGATTTTTTTTTTTTTTGTGTTCGTGTGAATTTGTGTGTGAATCGTGTGTAAATCTCTGCGTGTGTGTGTATAGGCATAGAGTCGAGGAGAACACAACCCTCTAGACTCCGCTTGCAATTTCTCTTCTTTTTCAATCTCTTCTCTTTCGCTCTCCGTCGTGTTTTTTTTTCCCGTCTTATTACATGCATGTAAATACATGCGGATGTAAAACGCAGCTTATAAAAATCGATACAGATCTCTCAATCTCCGAGAACTATCGGCAAACACATCTTGCATGAAAATATTGGTATTCAGAGAGATATATACAGCGTGTACACAATCTATCTTTCACATGTATCTCTACCACGCGTATCTTTTGATTAAGAGAAAATATATATTTTACGAACTTAAAGAGAGTGCGTATCTACGAAGGAGATATATATAATTTTGAATTATGGCACACAGAGAAAATTGAAACAAACTTAAAATAGAAGAAATGTACAATACAAAGTTTTAATTTTTATTTTAAGCGCGAATCGAAAATTATAAAAATAAATAACGTTACGTTAAACTCACAACCTTTCTCTGACCGTCACACAACTTTCGATATCTCTCGAAATTCATTCCGCGTAAGATGTCGCATCAGTATACGCAAAAAACGGAAAAGCGCGCAGTATGTGCGCTTCCAACGAGTTCAACGTCACATTCCCATGCGAGCCGCGATCGTTGCGTCAAGTCTTCCGTCGATTGTGCCCTCAGAGCGGATCGCCCCGTCTAGTAGCCATCTTTGCGGCTCTGGTAGCCAGAGCCCCCAGGGAGCACACCAAGCCCGTCAGCGTCTCCCAGAATGTGGTTCTGCGTCGCTTGTGCGCCGCTTGGCCGACGTATCCCAGATAGTAACCGGCATACCGATCATTATTGCCGGCGCCGCGGTTCTCGTAACCGCCATTACCATTCCCGCCATTAATGCTGCTGCTGGATCTGGCGCTTACGCTGGATCTGGGCTGCTGCAGGATACTGCGACGATGCTCCTGACTGATCGGATCGATGCTCCGTCTGGGCGAAGAGACATTGCTGCCGCTGCCGCTGCTGTAGCGATGATGTCGCTTCTCCTCGTAGAGATGCTGTTGCAGCTGCACGTTGCTCAGCCGTCGGTCCATCATTTTGACCAGGTTCTGATGCACCCGTTGATCGTCCTCCGGCACCGTCGCTGGCGATGTTGCTGCCGATGGTAGCTGACGTCGAGAACTCGGTGTTGGCGACACCGGTAACTCGCGTTCCACTTGTCAGGCGTATTCAGTCTCGCTGGACGCCGATCGCTCTAAATGACCTTGATGTCCCACCGAGTGATGTTGCTGATTTGGATGTTGTTGTTGCTGCTGCTGCTGGGCCTGCGCGTACGCAAGACTCTTCTGATAGCTGAACAACTGCCGTTCGAGACCGTAGTTTTCCGCCTGCAGCGACATGATCTCGCGTCGCATCTGCTGATTGTGAACGCGACACACGTCGTCGTACTTGTGATAAGTCGCCTGGAAGAGCAAGTGACTCTCGTTCCACTCCAACCGGATAAGCAGTTGACCTTTATCCGTGAGATATGGACAATGATTTTCCTTCACGTCGTTCATGTCTACGTTAGTCTCCATGATGATACCCTCGTCGACGGATTCCTGAACGTAGTAGCGGCTGAACGGTTCGCCGGGCAGTCCAATCGCCACGACGTTTGGTCCCTCGCGCTTCAGCAGATAAGCCGACCAACTTACGTACCTGCTTGCATAAAATCATGCGCTTTATAGAATATAGCAATTAAACCAACGTAATAATATTTCTTTAAAACGTTTGAGATTTTGCATATTCAATCGCGCGTACTATATAATAGTTTCCTCTAAAATAATTTTCACGATAAATTTGATACGCACCTCAAATGATTCCTCGGCACGTTATGAATGTCTTTGTACACCAAATGAAGTCTGACCGTGTCGGAGTTGAGATCGGCGCGAATTGTCCAGGCCTGTTTGTCGCGATCGTAGCAAGGCGCGGCTGGCAAAACCGTCGGGCCTAACGCTTGTACCGCGACTTCGCAAATAGTTCTCGCCTCGAGCATCTCCAACGACACCCGGAGCGTTCCCTTGTGCGCGATCTCGGACCATCTGAACTTCGTGTGCCAGCCGAAGCCGCAACCTTCCGAGTCGGAGATGTCCTCGATCTGTCCCGAGTCGATACGCCGATCGCCCTCGCCCAGAGCCAGAATGTACCTCACTCTGCAACGGTGATCGAAACCCGACAGTCTTATCAGATAGACGCTCACGCGACTGTCCTGACCGCGGGATCCGTCCGTGTTATCCTTTCCCTCTCCGTGCGGATAGATGACCAGATTCCAGTCGAATCCACCGAACGCGAAGTAGTCGGTTTCGAGTTTGCTCGGTTTCGGCTGACCGAGCACCGACGTCGGCATTCTGACCTCGGTCATGTAGACTGTCCGCACATTCGCCATGGACAGCTCAAGCTGAAACTCGCCGTTCGGATCGGCGAAATTACGACTGTACAGATCCGCAACGGCGATGTAGTTGCGGTTACCCTGAGCGGGAGCTTCGTAAGTGAACTTGACGCGCTTGCCGGAAAAGCTTTCGTTCATGGAGAAGTGCTCCCGATTTAAAAGCGTGAACGTAAAGTCCACGTAGACGCGGAGGTTTCTTGACGCGCCGCGCCATACTAGATAGACACCGAGGACCTTGGAAGGATAAGCATCGGATAATCGTATTTTCTGGGACAGAAAGATAGATCAATACTGAAATAGAAGAGTTAGAAAGAGAGAAGACAGGATAGAGTGTACAAGAAAATGCAATTTTGTGACGAAGAAAGATTTGCATAGTTAAGAGAGTTTGAGGGGTCGAAATGTCGAGAGAGAGAGAGAGAGAGAGAAAGAAAGAGAGAGGGTACCTTTTCGCCGCGCGAGAAAGCAACGGCCCATCTCTGAAAACCGCATACTAGTTCCTTGCTGGTGACGTCCCTCTCAGGATCGCGCACGACGGTCCTAGTGACGACGAAGGAGAACACCCGCGTGCCACTGCGATCGTGCAGCTGCGCGAACCTATACAACAAAGCCATCACCGCATCTCGAGAACAGCCTTAAACCGATGGCCCGCGTTTTACGAGAAAGATTCGTCCTGGAGATAAACTAGAAAATCTGAAAAAAAAAAGAAACACGACTTATATAAGAGAAATAATAATGCTTATTACATTACACAGTGATAAATATTGATCAAAGGATGAATCTCCGGATATTGAGTTGCAGCGAAGTGATAATTAACTCCTGATTTAATAATTATTTCAATAACGCACATCTCGAAAAGACTGAATATTCTCTTGAATATTCTCTTTGAGACTCGAAGCTCGACTGCCGAAAAGTGCTTGAAAAGCTTTCCTCGGAATCTACTCAGAAATCATTCTATAGCGTCGTAATCCGCTTTCACTTCAAAATACTGCAACGCACATAAAAGTCTTTTGTGGTATTAATTGTCACGTATAACAGAGCACGATATTGAAACGAGCGAGTAGGCTTCGAGTTTTTTTTTTTTTTTTTTTTTCAACGAAAGGAAAGCGAACAAGAGCGACCTAGTTTCTCGGCGAACACCATATCTACACTGTTGTCTTTCGGAAAAACGACAAAATGTTGCGTTTAAAATTTCGCTTTTTAAAGTTTCGCGTTTGCAAAATAATAATTTTCGAACATTTCTGCGAAAACTACGCAACTGTCGTTAGTTAAAACAAAAAAAGCCAGTGAAGCGGTTAATCTGATATTGTATTGCGTTACTTTACTGTGTAGATTCGCTAATGCAGTTCCATGAATATGCAGAAATAAACCGAATGTAGTGCTCGGACGTCTTGTATCGAATTACGCAAAGCACTGCATTTTGAAACCTGTGAGAATTGCAGCGTATCATGTAACCTCGCGCTCGCATTCGCGCTATTTTCACACAATACGCTCCGTCTCTGGTTATCTAAAATGTCATGTAAATGCGAAAGCACGCCTCATCGAAAAAATCGCTAATATCATTTTTTTTTTAAATGTAAGAAATCAACGATGTGAAAAAATCAACTATGTGATACATTCTTCGTTTGTTGCTCAGAGAAATTTGTCGTTTAAAGAAAATAAGTGGATTTGTGAGTTTTTTTTTTTCCGTCCGATTTTTCTTCTATTTCGAATAACACGTATTTCCGATGACAGTTGTGTTCGATTAAGCCGATTACATTTAACGAGTTAATGGTTTCCGTCTTGCCTTTGATAAGATTTCAATAGATCGTCATGTCGGCGCTGAAGATGAGGGAGAGGGAGGAGGCTCCCGAAGTCTTCAGAGAGGCCATCCTTTACCGCGAATGGGGCCATCGACTAACAAGTCTGGGCCGATATTCCACGGCCGTATATTACTACGAAAAATCTTCCAATTTGGAAGCCGAAAATCTCAGAACGTTAATCGGACTCTGCGAAGCGCTTATGAAATATATGAGATACTTCAGCGCGAGAAAAGTGGCGGAGAAATGCATGGAAATAGGTACAACCGCGATGCATTAAGAAACTTTGTGAAATAGAAACTGAGGATGTGTAAGAACCGACGTAAAATGTCAAGTAAACTTTCTTTAGAGACGCGCTTGATATAAATTATATACATATACATACACGTATATACGAGAGAACGTTGTATTCTAATTACTTCTGTAATGTTTAAAACTTGTTTAATCTCCTACTCGTGCGCGCTTGTACACCTGTACTCGTGTATCTCGTTTTTTTGCTTTATTTAGATTTTGTTCGCGCAATATCGACAAATGTCATTTTATCTCGCAAAGAGCCGCGCCGATATAATCACGCTTTAAGCGCTCAATGGCCTTCGATAAATGTATCTCGCGCTCGATGTACCTCGATAAAATAGGCAGATACGGGTTTGTGTGATCTCTGCGTTCGTTCGTGTGCACACAGTCGTATCTCGGCCCACAGATCCCGGTCATTACAAGGTACGGCGAACGCGGATGGAAGTGCTCTTCCAGATCGGGGAGTTCGCTCACAGCCTGCGAGGCGTGCGGCGGGACGAGATGACCTTTGAGCACGGCTTTCATCAAGCCTACGGCACCATCGAGGATTGCGTCGGTCGGAACACGTCGCCTGTAGTTCTGCTGCTGCTCTATCCGAAAATACGACGGCTGCAGGAGCACCGCGAGTCTTTGATCGGCAAACCCGAGGAGGACGAGGACGAGGAGTTCGAAGGTGCGCACAATCGCGCGCACAACGCTCGGAGAACAAAGGCGGGGCAAACGACGGTGATATCTCGACGGATATATCGACGCCATCAATCGTCGAGCGAGGCGAAAAAAAAGTCGTCGTTCGGAATAACGTAGATTCTGACTTTTCTCGCGAGGCGAGATTCAATTTTCTTAGATAGTGCGCAAGAAGATACTTTTGCTTCTTATCGAAACTCGTTCCGTCGCGGGCATTAAGTCGAGCGGAGTGCGAGACCGTAATACGAGAGATTCGATCGAGTATTTTTCAATTGAGAAATCGCTCGTCTTTTAACGATTTCGTTATCTGCGACACGCGCACTGTGTTGCGGCCCGTATACGAAGTAGCGCGAAGATTGACTTTTGATCGCAGGTATTGACGAGGACGAGGCGAGATTCAAGGTGAACGATCCCGAGGTGCAACAGCAGGCGCGAATGAAGAAGCTACAGCGCGTCATCGCGAAAATGTATATGGGTTACTTGGCGATCGATAAGGATTTTCTCGAGGATATTGCGAGCCGTTCGGAAATCGTAGATTCGCCGTGCAAGAGCTCGGCCGCGACGCTGATCGCGCTCGCGAGTACGTGTCATCGCAAACTAGTGCGACTTCAAGAACTGCTGAGGATGAGACGACCGCTTTACGTTACGATCTTCCGAAAACGAGAGCTCCCGAAAGGATTCAGAATGATGATGGAACGGGAGCGAGAACTGCGCAAGAATAATATCGTTTTGGAAGCGGATTTTCTGTTGCGCCAACTGCTCGCCGCGAGAATCAGCAAGGACTATCCCACTTTCTTCAAGTTCGTGTGGCTTTGTTTCTTTGTTATAGCGTAGCGCGCGAACCGAGTATTTCATATCGTATCGCCTAATATTGTTTGAAATTGGAAACACAGTCCAACACATTCGCGATATCATTCTTTTATTGTTGAGTTTCTTGTTGTATGATTGTTTTATTTTATTTTATTTTATTTTTTTTTGAAATTCTTCTGTCGTTAGATCTGTCTATCGCATCAAAGACAAATTCGACTCGTACTCGGACAAGATGTTTCCGTTGAAACGGAGGTGCCTTGACGCGCTTTACAAAACTATAGCGTGGGTGTACATCGACGCGCGTAATTTAACGTGTTTGGACGACGAGAAAACGAAGACGAGATATTTAAAGCATCACTTGGGAATTCGAGTTGCGAGCTTGCCGCGAGATAGCGATTTGGCATGGATGCCGACTGCGAACCCGAAGGAAATGCTGAAGATGTTTCATCGGTATAATTTATTCATAAACCACAAACAGGCACACCAGAGACCTGTAGAGCGAATCATAATTTCCTTGAATCTTACATGTGCAAATGTGGAATTACGGTTTTACGTTTATATACGTTGTTTTTTTTTTTTTAATTTACGAACGGATAATGAGAAACACTTATTTTGTTTATTTATGTTTTGTTTATTTGTGTTTTAAAAAATTTTAATTTCAACTGTCAATATTATCTTCATCTTGTTGAAATAACAGTTGCTGGATATTGCTTCTCTTCGTTCAACGAGCGTTAATAATATAATTAATTTATACAATGATGAGTAATTGACAAGCATTCTATATAATCTGATACATATATAAAATTTGCAATTATAATTATTACGCACAATTAATTTGCGATAATAATTTACATTAATAAACCAATCAATTATCCCAAAACGGAATTTCAATATTTGCGGTCTGGAGCAGGAGATTAGCCATGGCATCTGCGCCGCTTGAACTCGCCTGGCTGTATCATGAATTTTGCAAAGTCCTCGTCGACATTCGTCGCTTCGATCTGGCCAGATTCTACGCGAAGAAGGGATACGACGTGGCGCAAGAGGCAAGATGTGACCAGTGGTACCTGAACATCTATCATCTGTTACTGCGAATGGAGATCCATCAGAATAATCGGAATGAAGCGAGAGAAGCCGCGATTGTGGCACGCGAAACCGCCAGAAAGCTCGGTATCGATTGTCTGGTAAAAATAAAATCTTGCACGATATCACAAACGTACACTCGTAACAGTGTCATCCAGTCGCAGTCAAATTTGCTCCACGCGATCGATATATATGTACCCGATTGCATATTATATTTAAAATTAGTTGGCACGCGCGAATGGATCGCGTCTAAAAAATATCGGAGATTAAAACCGACTCGGCGTTCGCCACCTACCGTCTTCTCGTCGCTTTAACATTAATCTTTTCTCAGAGCAATCCGTGCCTTCGTGATTTCAATTTTTTAGTAGACAGAAAATATATAGCACAGCGCGCGCGCGCGAATTATATTTATTGGAGCGCTGTTACGAGTCGCATTATATTCGGTACATAACGATAATAGAAAAGTGATTTTCTTCACCACGATTTTGCACTCCATTTCTTTGAGACGCCTTAACGACGAAGATTGTTCTTCACTCGTTAATGAAAGTTATTCTTTTTTTTCCCCTTTTATTCGAACTTCTTTAGATTATTTGCACCGTCTTGGTTTTTTTTTTTTTTTTTTGCGCCGCGAAAAGCGAAAAAGTCACTTCTGAAAAATTTCTCTCTTTGTAAAAGATAAGAACGAGGGATAAGCCTCCTTTTCGCGAGAGGCAGTTCTTTCCGTTACAGTGTGCGACACAATCGAACCGCTGAGATAGGCAAAGGATCGACAACGCGGTTAGTACAAGAGCCTCGGTCTCCCTAATATTCCCACAGATAGATTTCTATGAAAGGGCCATAGCGATCGTTGACGAGCTCGATATGGAGAGAATCAACGATTTTAACGGCATCGCTGCCAGACAGCAGCTTATCCTGAAGCTAATGCCGAAGGAGATGAAGGAAGAGGTGGATTTTCTGTGGCGGCGCATGGACGTCGTGCCCGCCAGGAGACGGCTCTCCGTCATGCCGGGCTGCAAGCCAATCGATCGAAAGTTCAAAATGCCGTCCACACGGAGGACCATATTGCCCAGCCCGCCGAAGGATCCCGAGAGGGACGCCAGGATCGCTTTGTTGAAACAGCACGCTCCGCCTCTCAAGCGACCGGGTTTCGTGGATTTCGAAGAGTTCGAGTAACGAATTCTTAACGAGAACACAGAGAAACAGTTATATGTGTGTGTGTGTGTGTGCGCGCAGTCGTTGAATTGTTCGCCTTTCATTCACATTGCCGGGCAAATTAATACCCGGATAACAGATCGCGAGGCATTAATAATTCTCACGAATATGTGATTATTTGAAGAATTGTTTGTATTTATCGGAAAGACCATTAAAAATGTTGACTCGACAAATTTGTTTGCAAAATTTGTTTATTTTTAAAAGAGATAATCTATTTGGAGAGATGATTGTTTTTAATCGTCTGGCTCGACGATAAAACGTGTCAACACGTATGCTCGCTTTAACATTCAATAATACAATTTTACGCCTCCTCATTTATTTCTATTGTTTTCCGTGGCTTTATTCAAAACCAGAATTAAACTGGGGCTCTTGCTACCGATTCGTTACAAAATTAAGAAATTCTCAGCATTGGAACTGCAGCTGTTTTATTATAATCTCGACTACGTATGGTTGATTTCTCTTTTTTTTTTTTTTTTTTACTCGTCATGCATCACATGGCACTGTCTCGTTATCCCCGCGTTCAAATCTAGTCTGACGTCTGACAGGCCCATTTCGC